GTTTCTTTGCTTGAAAATAATAAGAAGATAAATACATTAAATAAAATGGGCATAAAAATTATTCCCATCACAATTATTATAATTTATCATTTCTTCAAAATATGAATACTATAGTTCTGTCAATCAACTGAATAAAATTTTATTTTCCTTTTTAAAGACAACAATTTCGATTTTTAAAACGTTTTGAACCGGAACAAGATGAGAAAATGGCTAAACTTACTGCTTTAATATTCCTGAATTTCTCAAAAAAAAATTTTTTTTTTGCAATTTAGAGTTTTATAAATATATTTATTTTAATCATGATGATCTCTACTGAAACCAATATTAAAGATAGTTTCTCCAGTATTATTATTAATGTTGTATCTTTCATCTCAGAAATCCAGATCAATTCAAATTCATAGTAAAAAATTTTTTTTTTCGTTTAGCAAAACGTATTATGACTTTTTCCTTACATTTTTAAAAAAAAAATTCGACTACAATTTAAAATGTTAAAATATGCCCCAAAAAATTTTTCTCATTCATGATTATTTTATCACGTAGGATTACATGACATATATATATATATATATATATACGTTTTTCTTCATAAATAAATGTATTTCGTTAAAACTGAAAGAAATTATGTCCACGATGAGTTTTGTTTGCGATGAATTGTGCCCAAAATAAATTATCATTACGATGCATTTATAATGACTTATGCATTTATAAATTTCATGCATTCAATGAAGACTTATGCATTTATAAATTTCATGTCATTCTCATCAAAAACTTTAACAGACAAAATGTTCTTTTCAAAATAAAACTATATTTTTAAGACACTGTGCATATTGGATTTAAGTAACTTTACTTTTACCTCAATGTATTATTTAAAGAAATTATGCTTATTTTTCAATTGAGACTTTTGAAAAAGGGACATACGTGATACATAAAAATGATATGTGATACATGATTACTTCATATATTTTTAATACTTTATATGTTTTAATTTTTACATATTTTTAATTATTTAACATATAGTATTGTAATAAATAATGTATCAATCAACAGTCTCTCAGGGGCTAAATCTTTTAATTAGTTAAAAATAAATTTAAACAAAAAAATTTACAGTATTATCAATTTGTAAAGTTTTAGTCGTTTCTATGATACAATTCATTTTTTAATCATAGAATAAATTTGCAGTATTTCATACATTATATAGTAATCAAACACAGAATACAAAAATATGAAAGGTTCAAAAGTTAAAAATAAAATTGATGAAATTTTGTTTTTGAATAATGCTTTTTTATAAAAAATGTATTAGAAAAAGAAGAAATAATCATTTAATAAAAAATGGAAAGTAAAAATAGAAATTATCAATGCTACTATAATTGAAATAAATAGTATTTTTATTAAAAAAATATTTAGCTATTTTAGACTAACAAGCCTAGCTCTCAAGGTAGTTTTTGAGGACAAATATATTTCCTCGCCTGAAGTAAATTACAAACTTATGAATCACCACAACTCAATTTTTAATTGATATTAATGTAATAATTGTATTTACTGCTTATTCTACTGGTTCCCATTTTGATTCACATCTTCACATTGCACAGTTGCATCTGCGTCATCCGGAAAAACTCCCCAGTTTAAATTTTTTATTCATTTACAAGCCAAATACCAGTTCAGCGCATGGGGTAGAAAATAGGAAAGTAAATAATCAATAAATCGATGTTAATCAACATGCACAAGCATGTACCAAAGCAATTAATAAAGTTGAAATAATTGAAAAAAATTATTTATTATTATTTGTCACGCAGACACGTAACCATAGAATAGGAGATATAGAAAATCCTAATAAATCGACAATATAAAGCTTCCTCGGATGAAAAAGTTATTCGCCTTTTTAGGAGATTAATACAGTTTCGTTAATCATATTTTTTTTAGTTTATTACATGTTTCATTTACAAACATAAGTAGAATGGGAGGTATATATATAAAACAAGCTGTTTTATATCAGTTAATTTAGTATATAAAAACCAGATTACCTTGTATTGAAGGGTTCTCATACGCTTTCATCGAATATTTTTAAAATTTACATCCTTGCTTAATTTTATAATAAATAAGCGTTTACCAACTATACATAGAATCCCCTCCCCCGAAAATTTCAAAGTAGGCCGTAAAGTTAGAAGTTTCACCATATAGTGACACTTCAAGCGCTAATTAACATTTAAACATGTTGAGTAATATTTTGTATCAAATAAAACGAAGTATATACCAAATTTAAAGTTAAAACGTGTTGATAAATGGAGGTTAACAGGACACTAATCATTTGTCCATTTTTGAATTCATGATTTTGAATAGTAATAGATACTGAATAGTAGTAGAACAATAATACAAACAAACATGGAACTCATTTTATTTAATTTAAAATTAGGGATGGAATAAATATATATATTAAATAAATACAGAAGCAAACAATACACTGGGCAAAAATCCATTTTGATCGATTTCTTTTCTGGAATTTTCCAATTTTTAAAAAAATTACTGAACTTCACAAAACCTAGAATTTTGGATTGAACAACTTTATAACCCCAGAACCGTTTGTGCTAGGATTCTGAAATTTTGAAAGAGGGTGCAAAAGACAATTTTAATTAAATATTCAATCAAAAATTGCTTTAACAAGAGGAATTTCTGAAAAATTAATTTTTCTCATACAGTTGTTTACATTGATTTCAAAATTGTTGCAAATTAAACTTAAGATTTTATTATTTAATAGTTAAGAACCAAACATCAAAGATGTTTGCTACTTACAGCTCTGTTAAATCAGACTAGTTTCACAGACATTTTTCAATAGTTATTTATACTTGATCGATTTAAGTCAGGTAAACAAAAGCAACGCGAAGACGTCTATTGGGTACTGACAAATCAAGAAGTGACGTGTTAATGTCTAACCATGTGATTCAAATCAGATTTAATTGGATACCTGTGCAAGCGATGTCACGAGTGTGTGTTGAACTCTATTTGCTTCTGAATCCACAGTTTCCTTACAAAGACATAGCTTGCAGGTCTGCTATCTGATCTTATTTTGTTTTAAGTAACACTCTTGAAATTTCTTGTTGGCCGCGATCAATAGTACTACTCTTCAACGAGTTTAGTAGTTCTTTTTCAGGATATAAAATCATCGAAAAAGGGAAACAAACAATAACTAAATAATGAAGAAAAAAAACTTCTTTTGGGGGGGGGTGCTAATGCTCTACAGTTTTGTGCAAGATTGTGTAATATATACAGATTTATTTATTATTTATAATCTTTTTTTATTTTAACTCTGTATAAATGACAGGTATTCAGCTAGAGTACAATAAAACACAAGATTTCATTTTTATTGAAATAACAAATGTTTAATTGCATTTTTATTTCGAATAATATACAATTCATGATAATCTTTGTTAAACAAAATATTTTATGTGCTTTTCTGGCTCATAACACCATTACATGAAATGATAATGAAGAGCAAGGTTAGCTTAGCAAGAAAAGAACAGTAAGAAAAAAAATGAAGATTTGCAAATGGAATTATTAAGTCATTTGGACTAGTCCACATTCAAACTCATTTAGCGGATAGCTATCAGACCAGATTCTAATAATTTTTGGATTTTCGCTGCTATATCGGGGTTCTTCAGATGCCTGTATAAAAAAATAAATTTGAAGTATTATTAAAAAACAATAGTTTACAAACCAACGAAAATTTACAAAATAACGAAAAATTTTATTATATAAAAAAATGTACAGTTATACAAAAATATTGACATTGATTAAAAAAAAAAAAAATTTTTTAAAAAAAGAAAAAACAGTAATGAATGTGAGAGAGTACACATGGGGATCTTATTTTTCGAACAGCAATTATTGCTTTAATACTTTTGATACGACGGTTTTAAACTTTTTTTTTACTTGAAACTTGAAGAGCAAGATTTCTTTCTGTCTGATCTAAATCTGTAATCAAAATTTAAGTTCTTAAATATGTTTTATATATACAGTACAAAACCCGTTATCCGGAAATCAGAAAACCGGAAAACCAAAAAACCGGAACGAAATTCGATAAATTTTCCAGTTATTTTTTTCAAAAAAAATTTTTTTTCCTCATAAGATTTTAGGATTTTTCTTTCTTTTTTGAAAGATGTTTACCCTAGCATCATTTTGGAAATAATCATTAGTGTATTACTTCGTTTTTTCAAGATTATTTCCAAATATTTTTTTTTTTTTAGTTGGGTTTAACAATAAAAAAAACGGCTTTTTGTAGCGATTCAGAAAACCGGAAAAATCAGTTATCCGGAATAGCGATTGTCCCGATCGTTCCGGATAATCGGTTCCCTACTGTATATATTTTAAAATATTAGCTCACACTATTCACTAATGCCCGTGACGGTCTCACATTCATCTCTGTTTTTTCCCCTTAAAAGTCAACATTTTTCGAAGAAATTAAATTTTGTTTTTAAAAGACATATTTATGATGATTTTATGTAAGAAAATTTTGTTAATATGTTAATCGTAGAAAAATAATCAATCACTTGTATTTGAAAAACGCTCAATGCTACATGAAAATAAATATTTCAACTTATAAACATAGTGTGTGACACAATAAGTAATGAATGAAAACCTATTTTACTTGCTAACAATAATCTTATATTGCATAACTGCTCAAATTGCGAACAGTTTTTAACTTTAATTTGGATATTTAGATTTTAGCTTTTATAGAGATTTGTTTTTGAAAAATTTCCATATAAATGTCGCAATTTAAATCTGACAACATGTGAAAACTTTCTCTTGTTACCTTTAGTTATCCCTTTTTGTAACTTTAAACATTAAGTGAAGCACAGGTTGCTAATAAAATGATTTTGTGAGTGGCAAATTTTTCAACAGATAAATAATCATTATTTAATTAAAGAAAGAAAAGTTAACAAAAAAGTACTTAAATTTGCAATATAACTTTCAAATAAATTGGAATTTCAAAAAAAATAATAATAATAATAATAATAATAAGTTTATAATTAAAAAGTGCCTTTTCAGTGTGCATGAATTCAATAATCAACAGTTTGTTTTTAGCTTTTTTTTTTACTTCAAGTTTAGCAGTTGATAATTCTCGAACTAATAATTCATCACAATTTTTTTTCTTTTTTTATTCCATCATATTCCTAGTAAATTTTTCTGTACACTTTCCTAGTTTTTAAGTCTTCAAGAATCCACGCAAAAGAACAAAATGTAACATAATGCAAAAAAAAGTGAATTTGCAAGGGAAAAAAGTGCATAAAATTGGACTAATTTTTAAACAAATTGAATTTAAAGGAAAAAAAAAAGCTCACATGAAGTTCATAAACAAAAATGGCACTTTCCATGTCTTAACTCAACTCGGTAGTATGCAGTCCTGCTACTTGTAGAGCAGCTTGCATGGTATTTTTTTAATGCAAGTTTAAAAATTAACAAATTTTTAACTGATTATGGTTTGTTACACTTTTTTTATTCCATTGTACTCTATATATTTTTCTATACATCTTCTCAATTTAAAGTTTCTAAGTCTTAATAGTTTTTTGTACAGCAAAGCAAAATGCAATATTGAATTTAACTCACAAAACAGCTGCAGCAACACTTATGACTTTTTATAAAGAGAGAAAATTATAACTTTTTATCTCCTTTAATAGAATTGTTGAAGAATATAAAGTATAAATTGCATTCTAATTTAGATAAAAAAAATTAGTAACCAAAATATCTCAGAGCTACAGCTTTCTTTCCAGATCACGTTCTGGTTTGAGAAAAAGTTACGAGTTTACCCTGGTTATCCTAAGTAACAATCTTAAAAACAAATATAAACAGCAAAGCAATACATCACTTAAAGAATGAAAAAGTATTTAATTAAAAACTGTTAACAGAATTTTGAATTAAATTAAAAGTCATATCCTACATTATCAATACAAAATATTATCCCTCCTACATACTATTTTATTATGTTATTCAATATGATTTATGCATATATTAATACAATAAAAAAATTTTCAATATCGAGATTAATTCATTTCCAATATTTTTAAGAATCTCACATAAAAGACTTTTATTTACCTAAAATTAATTGAACTCTTACCTTCAGTGCAAAAAATTAACCAAATTAATCAATAATAAGTTACAAGAAAAGCTCTTTTCTAACTCATTACTGAATCAATAAAAATGACTAAAACACATTTGAATTGAAAAATTAAGAATTCGGGTAAAAAATTGGCATTCTTTAAAAACATAAAAAATAAATCACTTTTTAGCAAAATTTTTATTTTTCCTAATTTTTTTTTATTAATTTACTCACAACCTTGACACAAAAAAGTCTTCTGAATGACATGGGAATTATAGATCTTAAAGACATTTGTTATCAAGAAACTTTTATCCACTTTGTATTAATATTAAGCATTATTTAATTATTAGGTACAAAAATAATATTTTCTCAGACAATGCAATTTTAAATATAAAATCCAAAAGCTGGGGGTGAGGTGGAACAAATACTTCCAGAGGAACAAAATAACGTTTTTAAAAAGCGAAATTCTTAAATTTTAATTTTCTTTTAAATAAAAGACCTAATTTTGCTTCAAGTTTGAGTGCTGTAATTTAAAATTCACATTAAGATGTTATAAATTTAATATAATACATATCTTTTATGATTATTAAATTTAATAAGAAATATAAATTAAAAACTATTTATTGCATTGAGATTTCACACAGGATTGGATTAACAAATCTATAGTAATAGATTCATAACAGTTCTGCCACTATAGGGAGGGAAAGAAAGCAAAAATACAGAAGTAGCATAGGAGACATGGAATTTTTTCCCCTTATTGCATAATTTCTTTTGCTTAAAGCAATTGTTTTAATCCAGAACATATTTTTCTGAATCTCTAAAATTTTAGGGGTTTCCCTGGAATACAAATAGGCATGCAAACTTTTAACACATTCTCTACTAAGATATGAAACTAAATTTTCTGGTTTCAATGCCCTCCATATTTAGAGATTCACAATTCTGAATCTGAAAAGAAAAAAAAAGTCTCTTTGAAAAAAGAATACTTGTTACAGATTTTATAATTTGAAATATAGTCTGCACCAATTAATCCTCCATTAAGTAGGTCCCTCTGAGTCATTAAGATTCCAACTTGATAAACTAAAATCCACTTCTTTAGATCGAAAGTTATTCAGAATGCTCTTTTCATGCAATGTTCATTTCCTTTACATTACATATTGCTTCCAGAGCAAGCAAAATATCTAGTGTTTTCAATATTAATTTCATTTCAGAAAAATAACGCATATAAACAATACATAAACATTCAAAAAGCAATAAAACTTACTCTTGCAATGCTCTAGGATCGTTCTGCATTTGTTCTAAGATTAAACGCATTGCTGGGTCACCAAGAATTTGTTGTACTTCTGGGTCAGACATGGCTTGCTTACGGACTTCTTCAGGATTACTACTGTTAGCAGCCATGCATTTTCGGTATCCATCTAATGCTTCCTAAAAAAAATTAAAAAATAGCAATAGAATTTATCTTATTGTAGAATAAAATATTACATAAAAAATGACTGTCAAAGTAATATATACATACTTGATTATTTGGATCAATTTCTAAAGCCTTTTGGTAAGCAGCAGAAGCCTTTGAATGTTCTTTTAAAGCCATCAGTGCCATTGCCTTTCTAATATAAGCTTTAACTGAAAAAGTATTTAAAATATTATTTTACTTTTAACATTTCTAAAAAACACTCAACCTAGAGAAACAATGTTGTAAGTCATACCATTCAAACAACCATAAACCCGTTAATAGAGCGGGTCACATTCACACACACAATGGAGAAAGGACATAGAACACACAGACAGAGAAAGAAACATCCATGCCTTGCCCGGGATTCGAACCCAGGACCTTTCTGATGCAAGGACAGTTCCCTGCCCCCTACACAGGCTGGTCGGCTTTTTTTAAATTATTAATAAAATATGTTGTCATTCTATTTTTATTATTTCAAGGTATATAATACAACAATGAAAAGAAGAAAATAAAATCAAAAATATAATTTTGTCAATAGAATTTGAATTGGCCAATTCCTTGTCACATCAGCAATAAAAATTATGTTGAACTTAATGTTCTGAGAGAAGTAAGCAAAAATTTTTAAACTGTTTTCTGGAATTTTCAGCTAAGGTAGGTTTAACAATGATAGAAAAACTTTCAAATTAAAAAAAAAAGTACATTACCTCCAATTTAAGAGAAAAACTTAAATTTTTAATTTTTACCATTAATAAAGCTAATTAAGGCACTGTAAATAAATTCTTCTCAATGATTAAAAGACAAATTCATTACTTAATAAATCTTAATGAAATTTTTCATGCTTAAAAGATATATAGGTATAAAAAATAAATATATTTTTTTGCTTAAAAAATACGTTAGTAAAATTCTTTCTTGATAATCATAAAATCATTAAAACTATAAGTTATTTTCTTTCTGTAGTCTCTTAGTTTCCATCTTGTAAAAGCTAATTAATTGTTTAAAATGACAGAGTGTTCCAGTCGTAGCACCAAGCTAATTTGGCGTTACGAACCCATGGTCCGTTACAAATTAGTTTGTATTCTTCATAATTATTTAAATTTGATATGTTCAAAACTTGAAGGATTTTGAAACCTTCATACTCTTCTGAACATATTAAATAACATAGTTTTTTTTTAAAAAAAATTTTGTTATAATTTATAGAAATATGTAAATCTGTTGATCACTACACATATTTGACATTTGTGTAAGTTATGTCTGTAGCCGTCAGTTTTTATTTATTTATTCTTTAAAAAAAAATTCAAATTCATAAAGTAAAAAAAAAAATTGGAACAAGTGCAGAGAACCCCAGTATTCCTACAAAAAAATTATTAGAAGTGTTTGATGGTTTCTAACTTAATTATAGGCACTCAAAATCCACAAATGCTATGTCCATAATGGTGGAATCGCCTTAACTAAATGCTGTGCAGCCCTAATTTATTAGTGTCTTTTTTAATAAAAGATATAATTGAAGTTAATGTAAAACAAACATATTGTACATTTCCAATTATAAGCCTAGAATTTCTAGAAAATTTATGAAAGCTTAAGTGGGAAGTCCGCTTATAATCAGATCCAGTAACTTTAAAAAATTCTAGGAGGACATTGCTAACAGATTAACTTCTTTTGCTCCAACAGATTTTCTCTTTATCTATAATCAGGCAAAAATTACAAAACATGCACATAATACATAAAAATACAAAAAATCAAGGCTGAAAATTAAGAAAATAAATAAATAAAAAATACCACTTGTATTTTAATAATGATTAAAATTTTTAAAAAATATTGAACATCATACATAATTAAAATACTGTCTTCAATATGGCCCAATTATTTCAGCAGAATATCACTTTTCTCAATTAATAGATTCATTTAATTATCTTTAAGATAATTTTAGTCAAAATGGTAAATAAAATTATTAGTCACAAACAGTTGCCTCTTATGGTAAATTACATAATTCTATGGGTTGTAGTAAATTTTTCAACTCACCAAATGTTGGGTCTAATTTTATACAAGTGTCACAGTCTTTTACTGCCAAAGGAAACTCAACTAATTTTTGATAGCAAGCAGCTCTGTTACTATACAGCTTAGCATCATCAGGATTTCGCAAAATGGCTTCAGTATAATGTTTCATTGCTCCAGGATAATCACCTTGAAGTAGACAGTAAAATTTATCACAAATAACGAAAACTGAATCAAGTAATACAGAGAACCTTACAATAGTTGAACAAAACTAAAAGAGTAAAAATTCAAAATAATATCTCGTTCTTATGAAAGAAATAATATCTCCCTCTCCTATGAAGAAATTAATGTTCACCTTATCTACAAAGGACTCACTATAATAATTTTAACTATTAAAGCAAGGAAAACCTTAAAACCTTATACAAGTTTTTTACTTTTAATAATTTTAACTATTAAAGCAAGGAAAACCTTAAAACCTTATACAAGTTTTTTACTTTTGGAGAGGAAGGGAATTATAACACAATCAGATTAAACTGACCTTTCTGAAAGCATTCATTGCCAGAATTTTTCGCTTCTAATGCTCTTTCTGGATCAATATATTTTTTCTTTTCTTCTTCTTTTATAATCTTTTCTACCTATTACGAGTAAAATATATTATTTCAGTACATATAAAATATATATTCAAATGTAAATAATAATTTTATAGTAAGGAATGTACGGATTTGAAGTTTTCTTATATCAATATTTTGAAAATTACTAAAATTTTTGAGAGACAATTTGGAGCAATATGATTTATTTTGATGGTTTTGTTACTTTACCTTGCAAGTTTATGAAAAACTTAATATTTGTAGGCAATTGGTGTAATGAAAAATATTTATAGCATTCTTAACAAATGAATGACTTAACTTTAGAATAAAAGGATTCATTACTGTGCTACAGTGTAATAATTGCTGTTTCTTTATGACTTTTTACATTATTTTAGCTGAAATAAATTGTCATGTATACTTTAAATAACTGCAAAATAAAAAGCTATACATAAACCACTGATTTAAAGAGAACATAGCTATAAAAACTATCATCTTCTTATGGCACAGTTGGAAATACAAACATTTAGAGTCATTAAATGCAAGTATATAAAATAAATATAGCTATTAAAAGTGACATAATAACACTGTTTCATAATAATTAGAAAACTTGGCAGTATGTGTCCTTTTCCTTACCTTCAAATTTGAAGTTTTAAGTATCATTTAAAAATGTAAAAAGTCTAGATTTTCTTTTTTATATAAACATTTTTTAATAATGTAAAAACTTACTTCTTGTAGCTTGTTAAGGGTGTCTCGTGTTCTATGTTCAGTTAAAGACTTTTGATAATAATGTTTAGCATTATTGTAGTCTTTTAATTTAAAATAGGCTGCAGCCATTCTTGAATATGCTCTAAAGAAACAAAAACAAGAATAAATAAAAATTCAGTGCAATATTTATAACAATTAGCAAAATTTTATATAAAATCTGTTGAAGCAAAAAAGAAAAATTGTACAAAATTTCTGTTACAAAATTCTACACAAAAGATAAACAAGAAGATTTGGACTTGACAAGTATATGCAAGAAAATTAATTTCATGTACAAATCAAAACTTAAATTAAAACAAAAATGAAATTTAGAAATTTAACTTAAAGAATGAAAATTATGTTACTAAAAGAATTTTGCATCATAGCATTTTAACTGAACATGTTTATAACAAGTTTTAACTCTAGCATGTAGTACTGAAGCATTGCTTATTGCACACTCATTGTGTCTAAATAATTTACCTTTCCATGTTTTTTTTTTCTTTTCTAATGCAATTAAAGTGTTGTAATCCAGTAAAAATTTTGTCAGTCCAAACCTGTAAAAAGCTTTAAATAACACATTTCTGGAATATGAAATAATATTGGTATTTATGAATAGTATTCTGTCTCTATCCTTTTTCTATCCAAAGTTGGGGTCCTAAATTTGTTTTAGATATGCTAATGAGAATGAAGAGTGTTGCCCTAAGACTCGTGCATATTAGTAAATATCACCGTTTCTATTTTACTTATATCTTTTTAAAATTTATAATACAAATATATGTAAATTTATTGGTGACTAATAAGATGAAAAGTTCCATCTATAAAAAATTTCCCTTTTACGCATTTGAGAAAAAAATCTATTAAAATTAACCAATTTTTAAAAACATAAACAAAGACTGGCAATAACAAAATCAAATTATTTATGACTGAGACTACATGATTATACAGATCAAAGAATGTTCATAGAGAACACAATTTTTAAAGCAAACAAAAAGCAAAAAAAAAAAAATTTTTTTTTTTTAACTGCGAAGAACTTTTAACACATTTAGAACATTAACAGTACTTTTAATCCATTCCAAATATGCTGCATTTAAATGCTACAACTCTTGTTCCGCTCAAATACAAATAATACATGTAGACCTTTACTCAACCCAAACCAGTTGGTCCTCTTACATTAACTATACATTTTGATCAGAAATGTTACTTTATCTAATATAGAAAATGAATTATACTTATATAAAAAAAAAACAATCATTATAAATTTACTTAGCAAATTTCTTGAAATCTGCTCTATTTTCTTTTCCAATCTCAATGGCTTTTTCACACTCTTTAATACAAGTTTCGAACTCTTTCATTTCAAAGTATACAGCTACAATATAGAAAGTTTTATTTATTTTCATGAGGAAATCAATATTTCAAATTACATACAAGCAATCAAATAAAAAAAAATGCTCAAAAAGTATTTTAAAAGAGTAAACTGCAATAATATACCAGCTTTATTTGTAAGGAATGTCATTTCAGTAGAATCTAGTTCAATAGCTTTATCATACTGAGCCAGGGCTTCCTCAAACTTTTTCTCTTTATACAATTCGTTGCCTTTATCTTTCTCTTCAATAGCCTAAGTAAGAACCATATTTAAAATATATATCACTCATTTTAAGGCAAGTACATTAAAATTAAAAACAAATGTAAACACTGACATTTTTATCATGATAAACAATATAAACTTAGAATAAATTATATCTACATAATTTTGAAAATAAGCTTTATTTTACAACAAGTAGATGTGTTTAAAATTTCAGCTATGATGTAAATTTATGTCATGTGCTATAGGAACATGTTATTCTCTTTAAAAAAAATTTTACAATTTTAATCTAAGTCTAGTATAATTACTAAAACCCTCAGGGTCTGGGTAGGATGTACATAACACTTAATGGCACGAAAAAATAATTTAAAAAAAATCACTATGGTACACTTGCACTTTACTGGAAAAAGCTTAACCTTTATTTTAGAAATTGAATCACCTATGTATTTTACTAATGCAATTAACAAGACTTATAAACCAATTTACTCCAAAGTAATAAATCTTATAATTATACTTATCTGTATAATTTTAATAATTATTGATTTCATAGTTATCTAGCATCTTCAATAATGTGCATGGTTACCAACATTTGAACCGTACTGATAACAAATATAAGAAATGAAAAGTTATAGTCAGAAAACAAGGGTAACTGCTTTTAAAACATAAAATAAAAATCAAGTTAAAAATAGTAGATTACATTATCCCTCTTATATCCATCAATTATATCAAAAATGAACAGAAATTTCTTTCCAAAAGTATTTGACAAAAAGAAAGCATCTTTTTAATTACATGAAATGGAAATAATATTTGAAAAAAAAAATGCAACTTTGGTACTTTGCAAAGATTGGAAGAGCAACAGTCATTATTGATTAGATTCAACGAAAAGCTAGAAATTTTCTTAAAAAACAAAAAAGACAATGCTTTTCTTTCATTTCTTAAAAATGGCATTTCAAATTTGAATAATTTTCTTTTTTCAATCATTTCTTTATATAATAATGATATTTATTTTTTTACGTCAAATGTCAAAAAAAATCCGCTTGAAGAAATATATCGAAATTTGCAAGGCAAATGATGTATGGAGAGTTTCAAATTTTCAGACAGACTGACAACCCTATACAGCGAACTATTTTCAGGAATTGAAATCTAACGAATATTTCTCCGGAAGAATTTTTCTTTTAATATGATAAATGATAGAAAAATGCTCTTTTAATGCATACCTAAAGGGCTCAAGAGTTGATTTACATAAATAGTATTTATAGATATATTTAAGTAAGAAAATAATTAATGAAATGCATCAGAGTTATGAGTTCTATAGAAAATGCATTTAACACACGCCAATAATATGAAACCTAAGGGATTTAATAAACTTAAAGAGCTATTCTTTTAAAAGAATTCTCTATAAATATTAACACCACATCATAAAAATAACATTAATCCATTAATAGTAAAGAAAGATGAAAACAGGAGTTAAGACTGCATTTACTGTTTTCCGGAACTTATAAATAAAATGACTTTTTCAAACATCAGCTATATTATAAATAAAAAGATACAGAAATAGAGAATATATTAACTTCTTTAAAAAAAACATATACTTGCATATATATATATATATATATATATATATATATATATAAANGTTGGTGTTTTCATATCAATGTAAACAACTATATTGAGCTTTTGACCAGCTCTATTTTCGGTCAGATAGTCTACAGCTGCCTTCAACAGCTTATTCCGTAAGGTGATATTTTCAAATAGATAATTTTCTTTATAATAAATTAATAAAAGGGGTAAATTGTATTATTTCTGATCTCAAATCTGTTGTTATCATTAGATATTAACGATATTAAGTAATTCTAATGAGTTTAAAGTGAAAATTTGTTTTAGTTATTTATTAGATGTATTGTTAAAAAAGGTGACATGGTTGCTCATTTAGAAAGAACTAACTTTTTTGGGAGTCTTGAATCGGCCTCTTTTTACTTCTTTATTACCGTTTGCTCTTGTTGAGAGCCTAGCACCACCATGTGTTAGTGCTAGCATATTGTTCATGCAACGAGGATTAAGTTTATTTTACATATTATCATTTAGGTTTAAGTTCAAAGTTGGTATATTTTTGAAAAGGTGTTTCATAACAAGTCTTTTTTTTAAATGACAATTCTTTTCTTAAACACAAATAATAAATGCAGTAACAAATACACTTATACAGTGAAACCTCCACAAAAACCAACCTCTATTTACGATCACTTTAGGGAGGCACAGAATTTTTTCCATAGACTTTATATTGAAGAAAACCTTTAGAAGAGAACATTAAAACCTCTCCCAGTGACCTGGCAAACATTTGCCCCAAATGAGAAAAAAATCAAATAAGGAAACAAAAAAAATATCAATGCAAATAAGTAGATTGAAATATATTCAAAATATTTGTATGAGGCTCTTATTCAGAGATCCTTTTCATGATACAGCCTCATTTTACAACCTCGTGTTGCAGTTCGAGTGCAATAAAGACAATGCTATCAATGATTTACTTTTAAAGTTTGAAAGTTAAATTAGGAAAAAAAAACTTATTTATGAAAAAACAATTACCTCAAACAAATTAACCTCTTCTCATATTTGAAAAAAGCCAACTAATTTTTGTGATATAAAATGAAATGCAAACTGAAACAAGCATAACTACTTATTTAAAATAGCTTTATCATTTATAATTGGTAAATTTGTTTTTACACATAATTATATCAGTTGGGATCATTTTTGGAAATCCAAATTTTATTCATAGATCCGTCTTTTCATGATGCAACAGAAGTGGCAATTTTGAAAAATAGAAAATGACACTGTTTAAAATAAAAATCATTTGCGAAAAATCGTGCACCTTTGATAACAATTTTGAAGTCAATGGAGGTAACCTTTAACAACTAACAATCTCCATCAATGCACATTTTATTGTGGAACACAGAGTGGTCACTTCCAAGAGGTTTCACTGTACAAGAAATACTACTCAACAGAGTCAAAACACAATGGTCAAGTTGTAAGACAAAAGACTTCAAAGTACACCGGAAACAGTAAATCCGGGTGTATAGGCAGTAAATAGCTTGCAGTTCGCCCTAGTGTAGAAAAAACCTTCCATTGCATTTAACCGTGAGTATATATATATATATATACGAAAATTCATCTACATAAACATTTTAAATTTATATAACTTGCATACAATTAATTATGCAATCTGCCATGTGTCATTCATGGGGAACTGAAATTGAATAACTTTATCATGCATAGAAGATATTTATAAAAAATAAATTTTCTTCCTGATTAACAATACACATTAACAAATTATAATCTTCCTCACCTTTTTCTTTTCAGGAGTAAGTTCCACTTCCATAGGTTCTTCTTTAGGTTTAGGTGTATCAGGTTTAGGAGGCGGGGTCATCTCAACATCGTCCTCCATGCCGACTCCAGCACTACTCAAATCTATATTCAGTAAGACACCCAGTGTTGTCATAATACGTGGATCTTTCATTTTTGACCTATAATGAAACAGGAAAAAACAATTTAAGAATAGAAAATTTTAAAAAAAGGAAGAAAGGGAAAATATTATGGCATATTAACAATAAGAAAAATTAATTTGATAGTTGAAGACAGTAGATTTTATATTTAATGGTTCCGAAACAAAAAAGAAAAAACATAAGCGAATGCAAGTTCTTAAAATCCTAAATTTATTTGAAATACATATTACATCAGCTGTATCCACTGAAAATAATTGAAAAGATGCCTTATAATCATTTTGCTGTAAAATTAGACACTAGATATAGAAAATTGGTGAATTCGAAAAATACTAGAGTTCTAGAATACTCAATACAATATTTTCACACCACCATAAAAAATAAAATAAAAACATTATCACACTATCAATGTACACAACATAGACATACTTTAAAAAATATTTTAAAAATAATTTTAATAAAATCTTACATCATCAATGCAGGATTCTGTTGAAGCTCCATAAGAAGTTTCAAGTAACTTGGGTCATTAAAGAAATCTTTAGTCCGTGGATCGTTTTTCAACTTTTCAACAGCTTCTAATCCTTTAAAAGGATTAGGAAAACCACCATCGAATCCAGCACCTGTAAAAGTTATTAAATTAGTAAAATATCATATGGAAATAAAACTTTAAAACAACTATAAAAAAATACAAAGATCACTTAGGATAGGGATGCACAACCATTTTCGTAAGAGGATATAAGAAAAAAATTTTCAGCTCTTGGGTGCAATAAAATTAGTTTTTATATGAATTGACAATAATGTAATTATTTCATTATGTAAGAAAATAATTATCAGTTTGCCACAAATATTAACAAACAAAGTATAGCAAATAATTTATAATATTTACAAGGTAGTTTCTGTATGATATTTTTGAATTAGAAAACATTTAAAGCTATGCAGATTTCGTTTCGTTAAAAAAAATTTAACATGTTTTTCATTTTGTCTGAGGAATACTAATTATAGTGCACAAACTACTTAAATCTTTAATTTTTAAATGTATGTTTGAGTTGTATTTGTTTGAAAAAATTTTTTTAAAAAGATTTTAATTTTGTTATTTTGAATTACATTTTGAACTTTTATAATCTCAGTATTTTTTGCTTGAAATACAGAAATGAATTTTTTTTGAGTAATGTAAGTGCACCTGCACACCCCTTAATAACCATTCACACTACTTGCAAAATGTTGCTTACAATGCAAATGTTGTTATAGAACTGAGAAATTGATTGGTGAAATATAATTTACCTGTGAAAAATTTGCCAATCAGAAAATCACAACATATTAAGAAGCCAAATCACAACATATCGAGAATGGGGGTCACTTTCTCATTCACTGAATGTTAAGCTATAATCTATCAACATAATTTGATTTTTCAAAATCTGTTCCATTACATAAATTCTAACAGAGTTCCTACTTAATTTCGTAAAAAAATATCCCTGACTTTTCCAGGTATTTCAGGTAAATTTTAAAATAAATCCAGACCAAAATTAATTTATATCATGCCATTTTTAACTGGAATATTATTATTTTTATTTGTTAATTTAGATTCAAATAAATATTAGATTGTGTGAGCAAAAAAATCATTGAATGAGGATGGAAACATGAAAAAGTTTCACTAAAAAGTAGAACTTTTATAACAAATAATTGTAATAGATGTTGCAATTACTTAATAATTGATTACTGTTACTGACAATTCTAAGACTTGTTATTTTCCAGCAATGATTTAAGAACTTTCCAGGTCAGGTTTTTGTGAAAAGAAATGCTATTTTCTCATCGCTCCCCTGCTTTTTAGAGTCAATATAAAATTCCGAGACAATTCCAGGTTTTCCCTTACCTATATGGGAGTCCGGTTTTAGCCATAGAGATAGAATTCTATATTAGTCAGAGGTAAAACAGTGAAAAGGATGCGCAAAATTATCGCAGCGCAGGATTATGGAAAGAGGAATGGGGCTCTGTGGGTGCCATAATAAGCATTACTTATTTTCTAGCTTTTAAAGTTATAATCATTTTTAATTATTTGTAATTCTGTTCTATCTAATTAGAATAATTATTTAATTTTTATTTATAAAAAAGCAAATATAAATACTTCTATTATTTTTTATTAACAATAACATAATATATAACTTCTGATGCGAAAGAAGTCGATAACTAATTCAATGCCGTGACAAAACGAACAACAGAATCTATTTGTAAGTCTGATTATTCAAAATTTAATATTAGAAACACAATGTCTGCTTTATTTTCAGCAGTATTATTTCCCAATAAATTGCAAACAATGGATCTCTCTCCTTGAATCTAATTATCAATTTGGAACTACACTTACACTTGGATTTTAATAATGTTGGCAAAAGGACTGAATGTTTATGGATGTCCTACAATGACCGCTCAGTCTGACCATTAAAAATGTTGCAAAATTTATAAAAATAAAGGCTTAAAACTGTCTTAATCTCTCTTGAATAAATAAAAAAATAAGACTACCTGATGATCTGCTAACTTACATTTTCTGAATTTGTAACCGAGGTCATATTCATAATCTTAATAAATATGTCTAATCTTAATATAATACAGTAGAGAACCGATATCCGGAACGATCGGGACCATCGCTATTACGGATAACTGATTTTTCCGGTTTTCTGAATCGCTACAAAAAGTCGTTTTTTTTTTTTTAATTGTCAAACTCAACTAAAAAATTTATATACATTTAGAATAATTTTAAAAAACTCTTACTTCTTTTGACAGTGTAGGGAACTAATGATTATTTCTAAAATGATGGTAAACATCTTTTAAAAAAGAAAGAATTCAGAAATCTTTCGAGGAATTTTTTTTCTTCTTTTTTTAAAAAAATGGCAGGAAAATGCATTGAATTTTGTTCCGGTTTTCCGGTTTCCGAATAAGAGGTTCTGTACTGTATTTAACTACAGTAAAAATGATTTCTATATGCTTTGATAATTTCTCATCTACTTCAGAAATTTAATACAAATGCAAAGCAGGGAATCCTGCTATATCATCCGGCATCATAGGCTGGATGATACAGTTACCAAGAATTAAGAGTGGCTGTACTTGTCTAAAGAGATTGGAAAGATAAAAGAGAAGATCTAGAGAGATAAAAATAGAAAAAAATTCTATTTTGAAAATAATTCTTACAATATTTCATGCCAAATTAATGCACTTGAATAATTTCAAATAGCATTTGTTTCTCCTTTTTTTTTAAAAGATACTTAAGGAATAATTATGATCAATGCACTAGACTCGCTTTTGTTCAATTCACACATTTACTATTAAACAAATAAATTGTTTTAAAAAAAAAGACTTTTAGGAGAAAAGGTCATCTCAGTCATTATAATGGATGTTAATATGTTATAAATAATTACCTTGATTCATTTGAGTTTTCACATCCTTGATACCATCTTTAAGTTGCTGATTGTTTGGATCAAATTTCAATCCATCCATGTATGCCTGCAGGGCATCCTCATATCTCTTGAGATAAGCTAAAGCAGCACCTTTTCTAGAATAGCCCTGCACAGAAAATTAATTTGACATTACCAGACTGAAAAAGTATTTCTGTTTATAGTAGCTATGTTAAACAGATTTATTTCAAGGATTCAAAAGTCTAATTTAGAACTCTTTTCAATGAACAGGCTCTTAGTTTCTGAACTAAGATCAGAGAACATATGAAAAAGACAATTTTGTTTACGAACACAAAATGAAACAGATGACGCTTTATAGATGGAAGTTTAGAAGGGCGGCCACCCAGCCTGCCTGTTGATTCCTATAAAAGTGCCCTTATTGCCCCTTTTTGTAAAATTTTATAAAAATAATACCTGGAAAACATCACCTTTTTTATTTTATTTCTTCATGAAAAAGGTTGTTTTCTCAACCACCTGTTTTAATGAAAAGTTTAGATATTGATATATACAGATTTATTTAGATATTGATTTTGGCCCAGAGATATTCACATCTTTTATTTAGGAGGGGAAGGTATCAATGAATATTTCAGTGATTTTTTAATTTTACCATTGTTTTATCAAAATAAATACCTTTCATTTAAAAATGCATCTTTAAACATTCATTTTCTCAAAGTTTTCAGTTTAAAATATAAAAAATGCCTTGAAGTTATTAATCAATTAATTTTTTTAGTTTAATTTTTTTTAAGAAAATTAATACACAGATAATGTCTTATAGCTTGTCTTTAATTATTTTTCAAAACCTTCACATTTTTGTGTTATTTTGATAATAAATTAGAGTTACTTTATGAAATATACACATAAAATAATATAAGAGAGTAATTTAAAAACTGAGGATCAAATTAAGTTATTACATAATATTACACATTTCGATAAATTTTAACAGTGGTAAGTGGTGCTCTTTCAAACCTTAAAATTCTTTTTTCAATTTTCCTTCCATGCCCCTTCTTTACCTAGGGAGAACTCTAGACTATGGTAAACTGTAGCACTTATCAGCTTCATAAAACTATAAAATAATTTTCAAACTAATTTTGACATCAGTGATATTTGTGGCAATAGGCATTACTGGTATCCTGGTAATTGGTTTAATATATAATTGTCTTGCCTTAACTTTTAGAACTTTCTCAGTTTTCAAACTAGCTTTTTTGACTATATTAATTTACAATATTCAACACATAATTGCAATACCTTCTCTTTTATAACTTCCTCAACCTTCAAAGTAGTTTTTCCCCCCACAATTTGAAACTGTTTTTGATGTTAATCATATCATAAAGCACATTTAGATGCCAAAACATCATAAATTAAAACACAAAATTTAGTGTGAACTTGAAATCTTTACAAAATTACCAAACATTCTCCTTAGTAATTTTATATGCTCTTATACTAAACTTTTGAGTTTAAACCTGTTTCTGATGATTGTCATGTCAAATTATAAATCCTAATTTCAAAAGAATGAAAGTGCACTTGAAAGTTAACAGGTTAGTCAGTTGGTGTTTTCATATCAATGTAAACAACTATATTGAGCTTTTGACCAGCTCTATTTTCGGTCAGATAGTCTACAGCTGCCTTCAACAGCTTATTCCGTAAGGTGATATTTTCAAATAGATAATTTTCTTTATAATAAATTAATAAAAGGGGTAAATTGTATTATTTCTGATCTCAAATCTGTTGTTATCATTAGATATTAACGATATTAAGTAATTCTAATGAGTTTAAAGTGAAAATTTGTTTTAGTTATTTATTAGATGTATTGTTAAAAAAGGTGACATGGTTGCTCATTTAGAAAGAACTAACTTTTTTGGGAGTCTTGAATCGGCCTCTTTTTACTTCTTTATTACCGTTTGCTCTTGTTGAGAGCCTAGCACCACCATGTGTTAGTGCTAGCATATTGTTCATGCAACGAGGATTAAGTTTATTTTACATATTATCATTTAGGTTTAAGTTCAAAGTTGGTATATTTTTGAAAAGGTGTTTCATAACAAGTCTTTTTTTTAAATGACAATTCTTTTCTTAAACACAAATAATAAATGCAGTAACAAATACACTTATACAGTGAAACCTCCACAAAAGACCACCTCTATTTACGATCACTTTAGGGAGGCACAGAATTTTTTCCATAGACTTTATATTGAAGAAAACCTTTAGAAGAGAACATTAAAACCTCTCCCAGTGACCTGGCAAACATTTGCCCCAAATGAGAAAAAAATCAAATAAGGAAACAAAAAAAATATCAATGCAAATAAGTAGATTGAAATATATTCAAAATATTTGTATGAGGCTCTTATTCAGAGATCCTTTTCATGATACAGCCTCATTTTACAACCTCGTGTTGCAGTTCGAGTGCAATAAAGACAATGCTATCAATGATTTACTTTTAAAGTTTGAAAGTTAAATTAGGAAAAAAAAACTTATTTATGAAAAAACAATTACCTCAAACAAATTAACCTCTTCTCATATTTGAAAAAAGCCAACTAATTTTTGTGATATAAAATGAAATGCAAACTGAAACAAGCATAACTACTTATTTAAAATAGCTTTATCATTTATAATTGGTAAATTTGTTTTTACACATAATTATATCAGTTGGGATCATTTTTGGAAATCCAAATTTTATTCATAGATCCGTCTTTTCATGATGCAACAGAAGTGGCAATTTTGAAAAATAGAAAATGACACTGTTTAAAATAAAAATCATTTGCGAAAAATCGTGCACCTTTGATAACAATTTTGAAGTCAATGGAGGTAACCTTTAACAACTAACAATCTCCATCAATGCACATTTTATTGTGGAACACAGAGTGGTCACTTCCAAGAGGTTTCACTGTACAAGAAATACTACTCAACAGAGTCAAAACACAATGGTCAAGTTGTAAGACAAAAGACTTCAAAGTACACCGGAAACAGTAAATCCGGGTGTATAGGCAGTAAATAGCTTGCAGTTCGCCCTAGTGTAGAAAAAACCTTCCATTGCATTTAACCGTGAGTATGTATATATTTTCATGAATAAATAACAGGTGAAGAGAGCATTAAAATGTAAAATAATCCTAAATTATTTAATACCTTAGCCCAATCATCTTTCATTTGAACAGTGTGTTCTGCATCTTCTAAAGCTTCTTTATAATTTCCAGCTTTACAATAGGCAGCACTTCTATTGCTGTATAAGACATGATTAGTTGGGTCTGCTTTGATAGCATCAGTGTAACATCTTATGGCTTCATCTAAGTTACCAGCATTCAAGGCAATATTGCCCTGATTTTTAAGTGAATTTGCCTGGAAAAAAATAATTAACTTTAAGTTCTACTTAAAAAGTAAGAAAAATCGCCAATCAAATTAAATAAAACAAAATAAGTTGTTTCTTTTTTTTTTATAAAAAAGTAGTCTCCCTCTGAAAACTGTATCAATTAATTCAGCAGCTGGATTTTCTTCCGACTTAAAATTATAATACTTCAAGGTTTAAAAGCATATTAAACAGCAACTATTTATTCAACTTTTGTGCCATTGTGACGCCTTTAAACCATGTTCAGTTTTAAATTCAAATTTCAACGTAGTTTTATAAAATCATTACCTAAAATAAAATATATAATTCCGTGTTATTAATGTAGTTTTGTCAAATAAAGCTATCTAAAGGTAGTTTTTTCTGATCAGCCGGTTGACTAATAAATTATGATTAGTCTAAACAAAATATTTTCACTTTATAAATAAAGAGTCTGTCTACCTTTTCAGCATCCGTCATTCTTACTTCTTGTTATTAAAAAGAGTGGGCTGAAAAATAGTATTGAAATCGCAGAGGTGCTTTCAAAAAACAAGGATGAGAAGTGAAATTCAATTCAAGATCAACACAGAATATTCTTAAGATAACTAGAAGGTTCTATCACACATTGGTGGTCTGTTTCGAAGCTTTTTTTTTTTTTTTTCCTCATTGATATCGAGTTGAGTTGTCGCCCATTCTTTGAGAAACTAAAATACAAAAGAAATATTTGTAATAAACAAATCTTTATTTCTTGAATTCAGTTGATTTTTACTTTTAAAAGTTCAAAGAATAAAATGATTATTAATTTAATGATTCCTTCCAGAATTAAAAACTTGAACAAACTGTAACTGTATTTGAAAAATAGGCAAATGCATATTTGTTTATTTTTCTGTCTGCTGCCTGAAATTTTTCTTTCCTTTTTCCTGAATTAACCATAAAACGCATAGTTTCAATTATATTAATAAATCAGTTTTTAAAATAATTAATTAAAGAAACAGATACTATTCTCAGAACATAGTATTTTTGGTGTTTAGAAGTATCTTCTATATTAAAGATGAAACTATACGAAACGGATGCAAATAGTATTCAAGTACGATTAAAGTATCTTCGTAATGAAGAAAAATGGATCAGGGACTGTAAAAAATTTTTAGATCAAGAATTGTTTCGTTTGCAGGTAAACTTTGTCTTAGCTGAGATCGGTCTAACAAAACTTTATAACACAGTTTCCTATACATATTTTGTGGAATTATTTTGATTTCTGAATATTCTAATACTTCTTGTTCTGAACTCATATACTAATTAGTAACGTGTTCTGAAAGTTAAATGAATTTTATTTTATTGCATACTTTCCAATTTAAAATTAAATGTTACAGCGAATTATTTATTCCAGTGGTAATAAACTGCAGCAAAATTTTTCATACAACTAGGCCACATCTAAAACTTTCATCAGAACTTTATAACCAATGTTCTATTACAGCGGTTCCCAATTTTTTTGACACTAAATGACCCAGCATCTCTTGGCAGATATAGAAATAATTTAATATAGAAATAAAATTTATCAGCAGCCGTGAAGAAATTGACGGAAGAAGGACTACCAATTATTTTAATTTAATGTGTATCACGAAATTGTTTTCAAAAATCGTTTTATAAATAAAACTCTTAAATGAATAGATACTTAGTCAAACAATTGAATTCGCAGGCCTGGACTAGTATCAAGTCTAGTTCCGAATTTTTTTTGGTGTATATGTTACCATTAACATATATAATTCAGTTATTTCATAAAATAAATAGATATTTCATGTTTTATTTCAGTTTCCTATGCTAATTTATCATTCCTGGTTTTTCAACTACTAGTTCCAGAATCTGTTCTTTAAATATGCACCTGTTGCCTTTTCCTATTAATGGCATTTTTAATTATCTGCTTTCTTTTTAAAGGAGACATTTTTGATATATCTGTTAAAACATAAAGTTGCATGAAGTAAAGGAGATTTTGGCAAAGCGTTATTAATTTTCTTTGTTGCTTTTTCCCAAAGATTGTCTGCTGGTGTAGCCAGATATTTACATGCTTGATTTTTCATCTTTTGCTTTTTTCTTTTTACATTACTTTGTGCTTCATTATTTTTTGTTCTTTTGTGCTCCTTCTGTTCTTCAGTAAGAACCTTAGAATGTCTATATTCCTTTTTTCTTTTCTTGCTTTCTTCTGCTTTGATAGTTTCATATTTCACTGCTTCAGCTTTCAATTTCTGTCTTCTCAGTCAAGATATTTCTGTACTTGTTAATGACATGAGGAATTTTTATAGTTTTACAAATTTAATATAAAATTCAATAATCTGTTTTAAGTTTTATTAACTTGAATTAATTATATAATAATCAAATAAATCAACTAGCAAAGATTAAATCTTTTCAAAACTCTTAGAAAAATTTAATTTAATAGAAAAACATCAGCAAATAAACATGTGCATAACCTAAATAATTTTAATAATGTTCTATTCTAAACAATGTTCTATTCTAATTAATCTTCTATTAACTGTTTGATTGCTATTATTCCTAACATAATTTCGAACAAATACACATGTTGCCATAAATGCAATTGTTGTTTAAATTTAAAATTCATATATCTTTTTTAATAACGGAAGAATTTAAACATGTTTAAAATGAAGTAATTTGTAATTGCAATTAGTCATTACGAAAATAAATGACACCTGTGCAAATTTTATAAGTTTTATGGTTTATGATACAAATTTATTGAAAGAGATTTTTTATCATGCTGAAATGTTTATTAAAAGTTAGTGAAATTATATTTTGCAACTTGTCATGTCTGTAACATTGTGGATATGACCAATTTAAAAATGCTTTAAAAAATACTAAATAGAAAAAAATAATATTTTTTTAAAAATCATAATAATGCAACACTGCAAATAGGTGAAAGAAATCCAATTTTTAAGAAAATAGATTTTTTAATTGCTTTGTTTTAATAAACTTTGAAAAAAAAATTATTAAAAAGTAAATATTTTTTCTTATAAGCATTCCATATTTATATACTGAACATAAAAATGACGTTTTTTCAGTCATTAATTATGTATATTCAATATATCTGTTAAAATACTATGTTTAATTATAAATATTAAATGCTGAATAGCAAAAAAAAAAAAAAAGAAATTATTCTCTTTGTCATGTCCGCAACTTTTTTTTACATTTTAAGCAATTTAAAGAAACTGCTTCACTTTTTTTAAAAAAAAACTAATTGAATATTCATTAAATACATTTAATGACCTTTAATTTGGTATGTAGTTTATTAAATTTAATGAAAAAAAATGTTAAGCATGCCAGGCTACAAATAGTGTGGAATAACCCTAAAAGCAGTTAGAACCGGTTCAAAGAACTTTTAAGTGTCATATTTCATACTTTAACATTCATGTAATCGTTATTCTATGGAATTCAATGATTTTATTTGCTTTAACTGACTTGTCTGGTTATTTCATGAAATATCTAGTTATTCTACAAAAATTTTGCCTTTTCTTTTTTCACTGGCATTTTACTTAAGTAATTTTATAAAAATAACCAGACTATGAAAGAAATTATGGCTTATTGTTTTGTTATAAATATAATTACAAGTTTTCAAAAATTATTACTGATTTAAAAAATATAATCTGTCGGAACTTCTGTGACCCTTTGAAAGAAAGTGCCCCAGAGTTCTGGGGAACTGCTGGTCTCTTTTTCCATATATATCTGTTGAAATTATGATAAGTTTCTGTTAACCAAATACAGATGTAAAGTTGTCTTAAAGTCTTGACCTTGGCCAACTTTTTATTTTATTTTATTACACTTTTCTATTTTATTTATTTTTTTAAATACAGAATAAAATGGATGTACTCAAAAAATATAATTAAAATAACAAAAGTAAAAAAAAAGAAGAAAAAAAACGAAAACATAGTTGGGAAGATATTTATATTGTGATCTGCAACAGTATAGCAGCCTTCTTCAAAAAAGTTTCTGCAACTTTTCAGCAGCAGCCTGTGAGGAGCTTACAAAGCATCACAGAAGGGGACCAACTCGAAGAGTATAATTAGTGGCCACATTGGCAAACCTCTACTAGTTTTTTTGAAATTTAAAATCCATTTGGCACCTGGACATTTATAATTGACCCAACTGATCACAGTAAGGAAATTTCCCCTATTAGTTCAATTTCCTTGCTCCGGACCAACTGAAAAGTACTGAAATTATTTATTGATGATCAAAATGGAATACAAGTGGTTCATAGTAGAACTTTTTACCTATGGCAACATTTTACATGTTTTAACTATTAACAAAGATATTTTCATATTGTGATGTGTCATGCCAGTCACAATCGCCAAATGGATTTTAAATATGGAAGATCTAATAAAAATATATAGAGGTTTGCCTGAGGCTGGCATTGAGTTATATTCTTCGAGTTGGTCTCCTGTGATTTTTTTCTTTTTTTACAGTTTCTTGCAAGCAACTGCCCGAAAGTCACAGATTATTTTGGAGTAGATCACAATACGGAAATCTTTCCCCATTAGCATGTGAATAGTCATGGAGTAGGAAGAATGTTAGTTTCCGTCTTAATTTTTAAACTAATCAAATTTTTTTAAAAACGAAACTTAAAACTGCATTAAACATCATAGTTCGTAGGGGGAGTTTCATGAAAATTTTAAAATATATTTTTCTCAATCTAAATGCAAAAACTGTTATGAAAGAGGAAAACAATATATTATAATCCTATACATCTGAGCTCAGGAGGAGATGGAAGGGGGAAAGCTCTTGAGATGGAACCAACATTCTTCCCAGATTGCATATTCGAGCATTGTGATCGCAAATAGTAGAATTTTGTGGCAAATAAATTTATTTTAATTCTAATTTATTAAACCATTAATATATTACCGATGCTACCAGGAGAAAAAATATTATTTGAAACTGCAGGAATTATGTTTATTTCTTGGAGGGTATGTTATTGCACCTTATTAATTCACTAAAATTGAACATTTGTTTTTTAGATAGATGAATTGAATATTAAGTCTCAGATAAGAACCAGGCGCATTAAGGAAGAAAAAGTTCAAATGGAACAAGATTCTAAATCAGGAAGTGGAGTTGATGTAGAGATTCTTGGAACGGTCCAGAAAAATAAAAATGTTTCCCAAGTGAGAATTTATAAATAAGCCTCTTTTTCTATGCATGTATGTAATGTTAAAGAATCAAAGAGAATACATAGTATTAATTTCAATTAGATTCATAAGTTGTCATGTCATGTAGCTTAAATCACCTGAAATACTGATTAACTCAATATGCTAATGAGCAGTATGTGATTTTTGTTTAGCATTGTACATGGACCAATACAGAATTTAAAACTACCATTTCTGTGAAAAGTTTACACTGCTTTTTAATTTTTGAAAAAAAAAATTTTTTTTAATCTGACATTTTTTTTTTAGAAAATGCTTAAAGAAAAGTTACTTAAATAGTTTTTTTTCTTCTGTGTGTTACAAACAATTTAAATACTCAATAAAACACACCTAGAAATCATATCGTTAAATAAAAAATTTCATCACCATTTTTTTTTTTTAAATTTATGTTTTTTTAGTTTAACGCAAAAGGCTATATTAAAAAGAAAGTGTAAATAAGGTGGATATGAAATAAAATTTTAAACTTCCTTAATTTCTTTCTTTCTTTTTTTTTTGTAACATAAATATGAATTCACATTACAAAAGATTAGTAATAACAACACATTATTCTATGATGAAAGTTTCAAGAAATTCTCTATTTCTTATACTTAAATCAAGTGAAGAAATAAACCTTAACTATAAAGTTTTTGTTTAAAGGTATTAATAATACTGGTGAAAAGTATTTATTTTAGGCTAATAATTCAGCGTGTTTACTAGACATTCTGAAATCAGAATAGACACTCAGTGGTAAACTTTCAGCCTGTTAATTTTTTTTTATTGTCAGCACTCCTAGCTTGAAGTTTCAATTGATCAGTTAGTGATAAAAACAAATATTATTGGCTATCTTTGTTTAGAAAGCACAATATAAGTGTGTTAAAGGTTTATTTAGAATAGTATAGGCAAGAACCAATCAGATATTGAGTTGCTTTTTAGTTTGATCTTGATTGGTGCTCAATTTATTACCAAACGTACATAAACGTGTTGATGGAAACGATTAATTAGGGAATAAATTTGTGTAATTTTTATTATATTTTTCATTGTTGTTGTAGTTTATTTACGTCGCACTAGATCTGCACACTGATCTATTGGCAACGGTCTGGGAAACATCCCTGAGGATGATCCGAAGACATGCCATCACATTTTTGATCCTCTGCAGAGGGGATGGCAACCCCTGCTGCGTTAGCCTGACGACCTGCACACGAATTCGAGCACTTTACAGTAGATTTTTGATAAAATTACTTTTAAGTGCTGATTTTTTGTAGAATTATTGAGAACAATTATATTATTAGTGTAAAACAATTATTAACTAGCGTACCTAAATCTTTCAATGCAAACGAGTAATTAGTGAATAAATTTATGTGAATTTTACCCTGTTTTTGATATAATTACTCTGAGGGTGCAGATTTTTTGTAGAATCATTGAGAAGTTAAAAAATTTTGGCTTGCATAATTTTTGTGAATGTATAAAGAAATGGTATTAAAATTGACCCGTATTGGTCCCTGTGTATAATAGCAATGTAAAATAAATTAGCATATTTTCTAAATACATTTATTTAGTTTGTATATATAAATTAATATTTTAGGAAAAAATTTATATTGTAAATAAGATTTTTATGAAATACATAGTTGTTTAAGTATGTAGTTAAGTATGAAGTTGGTATGTAGCATAGTTTTATATTTATGTTTAGCATGTGAAAAAATCTGTAAAAATTATTTTATCTTTGTCTATATTTATTAAAACGTTTGTTTTACAGGGCACCAGAAATCCTGCTCTATGTAATGGACAGTCATCACAATATTTAGAGCCTTTAAATCTTATTACACCTGATTTTGGTATGTATGATTTAAAAAATTTTAAAAAAATTTATGCTTCTTGACAGTTCCATATTTCAGTTTTTGAAATATAAGGAACTAATGCTTTTCTAATAATATTGTTTAAATACAATAAAATATTATGTTTTTATCAAAAACAAACTTTGTTTCTAAGTTCCTAAGGACAAGTATTTCAAACTTACCATCTTGAAATAGAAAAAAGCTCAAAGTTTTAGAGTTTGTATAACAAAACTCTAAAAGCTTTTAGAAGTTTTATTACAAAAAATTTTGGTTAACTTCATATGATTTATTTTATAATTGTTTTTTTCCTTACAAAGCCTAATGGAAAACAAACATTTAAGCCCAAATTTTATTTATTTATTGACAAAAATTACATTCATTATTTCTAGAATAAGTAAATAAATTTTTTTGAGGGGGGGGGGAGCTTATTAACATGCTGAATGCCACGTTGATTTTACATGGCTTGTTGCCTGTCTGGCCTAAATGATTGTATTGTATTGCATTATTGCATTAATGTATTGCATTAATTTCTGCAATTATTATGTATTGCATTAATTTCTTCAAACCATTTTAGTAACGATAATAATGTAAAAAAATTAAAAGCATTAAAAATTTACTTGGAGTATGTGTTTTTAATAGTCTGGGCTTCGTCGGTCACCGATGACCCCCATGGCATTCAACGTGATAAAACTGACTAGTATCACCAACTTTGCCGTTTAATTCTCCGACAGTTTTGCCTATAAAAAGCTGTTTTCTAACCTGAATTATCTATAGCTAAGCAAACTCATTGTGGAGTTTATCTTCTTTTAAGTAAATACTAAATCGACAAGTGTGAAGTTCCCTAACAGTCATCTCTTTTTTTAGTTTCTAGGCTTATTTTTAGCCTTTTGTTAAATTTCCAACTTTCTGAAAAAATTTAAGACAAAGTATGGTAAAACAAGATTAAAAAAAATTTTAAAAAAATCACAATTCTGAATTTTGATTCCTACAAAGCATTTCTTAAGCAATCATCAAAAGTATGTATATTAATATATATTTTTTTTTGCTTTTTACCACTGTTTTGAACCAATTTTCATTGATAAATTGGAATTTATTTTTGAAGTACTAAGATCTGCATAAAATTTTTTATGTGTACTTAAACCCTTTTTTTTATTACTCCTTTATTTATTTTCCTTATTTCATTTTTGAAAATATCTCAACTTTCTTTTATGATTTCATATATCTCCTGCTAATTTTTGCGTTTATTATAGTTTCAAGCACTTGTTAGTAATAGTATTTTTCTTTTCTCTGTTGATTCAGAACAAATATAGTTGTATCTATCTCGTGTGACATTAGACTCATGCAAACCAATAAGCCTATTAAAACAATAGATTTGTCTTTTCTTTTTTTTTTAAATATGTCTCGCCATTAAATTAAAATAAATAAATGAAATAAAAAAAATTACCAAAATGTGTCTGTGTAAGCACCTGCTCATCCAAATAAAATTCAGCTTGTAAGAAAACTACTAGCTAATATACAATATCTCCAATTTTTTTTTCTTTCTTTTAAAGCTTTTTTTTTTTAGATTGAAATTTTTTCTTCTTTAAAAAATGTTTTAAGTATTAATTTGATTTTGTATTTTATAGAGGAATTTCAAATTGATAGTGATTAATGGAAGCGATTCAAGCAAAATTTATGGCTGAAGGTATACTGTTGTTTCATCCTTTTTTATTATTATTTTCTATTCCATTGTTTTGTTTTAAAAGTATACCTTGAAAAATGGATTATTTATATTACTTAGGATGTTGAGATTGTATTTTATTTGTTTCTCTAGCTGACAAAACAGTATATCCAGGTTAAAATTTATAAATGTTTTATGAAATAGTTTTTTTCAACCTTTATTTAATAGTGTTTCTATTACCCTTTGTGACATTTTACATGTCAGTTACTCCACAGAACGCATCTATAGAAGAGGTAAAGTTATTTATTTAACTTTTGAGAATAATAAGTATAATTAGCTTTTTGTTTAAAGACAATCTCAGAAATTATCAGTTTTTCATATCCTATCACAAGTAACTTTAAGTGTTCAACACTGTTGATTCTCTGAATGTTATATATTTATCTTTAAATAGTGCTAAAGTATTTCTCAGTATAATAGATTCAAAATTTTATTATTTGAATTTTACGATTATAAAAAGTTATGATTTTTTTGATTCAGTATCTTTATCAACTTAAAAAAGTGACTTCATGTTAAGTAACACAATTTGATTGAATCATATTTACACACAGGGTGGCCACTCAAATTAGATTTCAAATTTCCATGATTTTTCCAGATAAAAATCTTAAAATTTCCAGGTTTTTGTTTCTTTTTTCTTATAAAGTGTAGGATGTGTACAAGAAAAGTGTGTATATTATAAAATTTTTTATTCAAAATGTTATTTTTGTACAAATGTTTTGGTACAAAATTTTGAATCAAATATCATATATTGACCAACAGAGTAAAATCAAATATTAATATATAGTTAGTTCTTAAAAAAACTTTTTTAAAATTAAAATATGTTATAAAAGGTTAAAATGAAATAGAAAAAATTAGCATTAATGCAACAATTTATCGACAAGCATTGCTGTTAGCGATTGTAAAAAAATGTGTGATTGATTGGTTCGCTGAGAAAAAATACTTCACAGATTTCTTTGAATGGGAATACAAAAGCTTTCAGAAAAAGAGTGCAATATAAAATCTATTATTATTAAATTATAACCAACTAATTTTTGGAGAATTTTATAAAGTTAAAAATACAAAAACATTGTCAAAATGGGAAAAAAATTACCACAAAAGCATCGGAACAAACTTGAGCCATAAATGGATTCAGCCCAATGACTGAATTTAAAAACAGAAGCTAATATCCTAATCCCTTCTACCACCTCCACCACAATCTTTCCTAAATTACACAGTCCCATAGCGGTCAAAGGTTTCTACATTCATTTAGCAACCGTGGGAGAATTTTATGTGGCATTCTAGTTTAACAGAGCTGTAATGGAGCAAATTTTGATGCAAGCAAAGTTTCACTAAGTTGATGATATTTCAACTGTTTGGAGATACATTTCTGTCTAAAAAAAGTGAGTATAATGGATGAAATAATTTAAATCAAGAAAATTAGTAAATAATTTAAATTAGTGAAATTAAAAAAAATTATCAACGAAAAAGTTTCCAGCTTTTCTTTAAAATTCCCTAATTTTTTCAGATTTTTATCCAAATTTCCCTGATTTTTCCAGGTTTTTTCCGGTATAAAAAAATTCCCTGATAATTCCAGGTTTTCCAGGTGGGCCACCCTGTACACAATTTTAAAATCAAACATAGGGATTAATATTCACGCGATTTAAAAATATAATATTGCAATTCGAATTCACCTGATTTTAAAATCACTCACTGTGATTGGTATGTAGGAAATGTAAAAATTAAACTTTAATCGTATTCACATTTAAAAGTTTCAAATCACGATTCCCTTTTATACGATTTAAAAACTGCTTATCATGATTCGCATTCTAACGATTTAGAATCAAATATGGCAATTCTTATTCAACTAATTTAATCTTAAGAGATGACAATACTAATTCATAGATAAAAAGCAAACAACAAAAAAAGTAAGTTTTTCCTATAGCCTACTTATACTACTAAACATATTTATACCATTTATTTTCAATGCTCATATGAATAATAAAAAAATTTTAATGTCATATCATTTTTCTGAAGCTATTTTTATTACTCAAGGATTGTCCAAGTCTGTATCAAGAATTTAAATTTCTTTAATATTGTTGTGAAATGTAGGTTGTATTTAAATTTTTTAAAATAATGTGGCTCATAATTTTGATGAAATTTATTCATTTATACTTTATGTAAATTGTATTACATTTCCTGAAACAAGATTAAAAAGAAATATAAATAAATTTTGCATTTATGAAATTTATCATAAGAATTTCCAATTTTTTTGAAAAGCATAAATTGAACATAATAAATCTATACATGCCTTTTCAAGTTTAATTATTTTTAAAAAAAATTTTAAGTTTATTCTTTTTTTTCACTAAGCCGAATTTTTAAAAAGTCGTATATTTAAAATTCAATTTCTCAGGAACTATTTAATCAATTTCACTCAAATTTTACATTTTGCCATGTAAAATTACCTTCTATAAAATGATGTTATAAAAATTGTATAACTTACAATTAAAAAAATTTTTTGACCATTATTAAATAAAATAATAAAATATAATAAATATTTACTAATAGTTATTTTTAGCATGGATTTCTCTTTGGATGAACAAATTTTATAATTGTGTGCAAAATTTTTTTAATTCACTTAAAAATTTCTCGCGATATTTCGCAGTTTCCCCCTTTAGTCTGAAGGTCAGAAATCTGACTATGTCGAAAAAAATTTAAGTTAATTCTGAGAAAGTACATTTTGTGTTTGATTCCTGATATTTTGTGATAAGGTAAAATATCATATGCCTATGCCCTAATTAATTAGTTTATTTGAGATCACCCCTTTGCACAATTAAGTTTGAGTCGCAAAACTTGAAGATCCAATCATTAGATCAAAAGTTATTCAGAATGGTTTATTTATTTATTTTTTTGCGAACTGTACATTCTTTCTTGCATTATATATCTGAAAATTATTGAAGTTTGATTTATCTACCATTTATTAAGTTGTCTATAATTTGATATATGTAAATCTTCACTGAGAAAAAGCTACATTTTTAATGAGACAAATCAACTATTTTACCTAAGACAAAATGCTATTTCTGCTGAGACTTTTTTTTTTTTTTTTTTGACTATCATCTATGACTAGGGCTGTAAACACCAGTATATAAGTAAAAAAGTTAAAGGACTTTAATTTCTAAATACTATTTAGGGTTCCAGACTTCACAAAAACTTGTGCTTTTATATTTAATTATCAGTCGACTTTGTGGTATTTTTTCATTAAATTTTATAATAAGAAAATTCATGTGAAACTGAAATGTTTTGTAATTTTGCTAAATTTTTTTGTTTATTAACATATTAATTAAATAGTCATGGAAATATTTTAGCATTTTTTTAATATATGTCGACAATTGAAAAATAGACTGATTTTCTTTTCTTTTACATACATTTTCTCTTTCACGCATTAAATGCTTAGAGAATTGATGTTAGAATTTTATATTATATCAAATTGTTATAAATATGTTTAACAGTAATTTTTTATTGTAATTTCTTTATTTCTGTCAGTATTACTTATATAATAGGTATATTTTCTTTAAAGGAAACAAAGTAGACAGCCATCATAAGATGAAAGTGATGATGAAAATAAACCATTTTCCAGTCTTTGCATTCATTTTGTAAATAAAAGTTCATGAATAAATACTGCACTATGTAGAATGTAAGCCAGTTTTGTAAATTTACTGAAGTTTCACTTAAAATGTGAATTCTTTGAATGAAAAAAAGTCTGAATGAATGTTTGAAAAAATATGAATGTTTGTATTTTCTAAAGTATTTTATTAAACAAATTGAATCCATAAATTGAAAAGATTTGTCAATCAAATCACCTTTAGCTAAAAAATTTATTTGTAGAACACGAACTGCAAAAAAATATATATTATCAACAAAATAAACTTCATTTACTCTCAAGTTTTTCAACTAATTGGAGAAAATTTTTAAATTCTCCCCTTATTAATGCCTATTCCCTATAAGCCATTTCATCTTCCTAATGACGGGAATAAATACAAATATTTGCATTAATATCGCAGTAATATGAATGCATCAAATATATCATTTGAACTCCATAAAACGGCAACGAAAAACGAAACTTTAAAATTTAATGGCTACAAAAATTTTAATTTTTTTTAAACCGATGTTATTTTTATTCATTAGAATACGTGATTATAAAAAGAATTATAAATATATTGATAGTCTTAACATAAGTTAGTTTTAAAAAATTAGAAAAATCTGACTCTTTGGGGCATAGTAAACCTTTTTACCTATATCAACATATACCTTTATGCAAGGGCGCCGGCAGAATAATATGAAAGGGGGTGCAACCCTCTAACGATATATATTCAGTTATTACATTTTGTTTTGTTATTGCGTATACTTTCATCTGTTAATTTTTTTCAAGATACATTTCTTCATTGTTATCATATTTAAAAAAAAGTACGAATTTCTTGTACTTGCAAATTTTGCCACGAGAAACTGTATTGATGGCACTGGCATAGCTACGGACTTTGCAACACAAATAACTACAAACAGTAGTTTCGTATGCTAACGTGTTTGTGCACGCTTAACATTGGTATTTATTGTGTTGATATATTACTATGTATAAAGATCTGCTCTCACTGAAGCTACAACGTGGTACGAAATGTGGAGGAATAGAGAAAATTCTTATGAATTCCTCGAATATATCAATTTAATTATTGAGGCCACACCGTTTAATCCAGCTTAAACAGAGGCAATCAAAATTCGCTTAACTCTAGAAGCCACTATGTACTATTGAACACACTTTTCAATCAATGCGACACATCAAAACATGGAATTGGTCTACAATGTCTCACGAGAGATTAAGTAGTTTGTGCATGCTCAGTGTGCATAAGAAAAGAATCAAAGATGACTCAGAATTCCTTGAAAAAGTTACAAACAGATTTGGACAGCAAACAAGGCAATTACAATTCTTGTTTGATTAAACAATTTTTTAAATGTTATGTATCAATAATTACTTATTTGTTTTTGAATAAAAAAATTTTATAGCAAAATTGTTTTTCTTTATCTTTTTAATTGTTTAAAAAAAAGCCAGGGTGGTGCAAGTGCACCTCTCCCCCTGCCGGCGCCCTTGCCTTTATGTCAAATTATAGTTGACAGCTAAATTTTAACATATTTCCAATAGAAAATATGAATGCATAATTTCTATTAAGTACTTATTCTTTTATAGAAAAATTTTAGAATTAATTATACTCTGGTAAAAAAAAATTTAGCACTTGTGAAAAGCCTATCCATACACTTAGGATCTAATTAAAAACATTTATTTACTTAGTTCTTATTACATCAATTTAATTTTGTGAATGAAAAAAGAAACAATTGAATTACTTAACAGTAATTCAACTGTTTCTTATAATAAGACAAATGGTCCCAATGAGGTGACCAATTGTATACAATAGAAAAAAAAAGTTTTTCATTACTTAATATTAAATTACAAAATAATCTATATGTTTTGTTTCTCATACTTAACAGATATCTAGTTACTTGTTTTTCTAAGAAGGGAGATACCGACTGTGCACATCAATTTTGAAACATTAATATTAAAGAGCACTTCTTATGAAGTTTATAAGTTTTAAAATTTCAAAAACAAAGCACATTTTTTTTCTTTCGATCATCACTTATTTTTTCTGGATACAATTAAAAAGAATATTTCAATTAATCACAAGTTCACTTTTAACAAAAAATATTTAGTTTTTTGATTCCACATAAAGCTATCTTGAAACATTCTAACAATAATGGTGATATTAAGTTGACTTTTTAAAATTCTCATGAAATAGTGTTCTAGGTAGTATTCTTTCATCCGCTTAAAATTTGAAAAAAAATTCTCATTTAAATTCTTTTTTAATTTTTGATCTCTAAACACATAATTTGTCTTAACTCTTAGCAATGCTGCAAACTCAATGCAGTTTAACTCTTAACAATGCTGTAAAATCGATTTTCAAAAGGCATATTGTTTTTCTGATGTGCGTGTTTTGATTGGATTGAAATAAATAAAAAGAGAAAACAAGTGCATCTAATAACATTTAATGGTATCCTGAGAAGATAACCAGGCCACAGACATGAAGATAGCTATGCTAACACTTGGCCTCATATTCTCATAGAATGAAAATCCAACAGTATCCTCTACAGGTGGTCCAGTTTTTCTGTACATCCAACAAAAATAAATTTACTTCTCATTCACAAAAATATAACCATCTTCATATAAACAACAACCTTGTGCGCCAGCAAACAAGTTCAACAAATACTGTTAGCTAGATTTTCACACATTACAATAGACAGAGCTTCAATTAGCTAAATCACACTTCACACCTGCAAATTATAGGGATACCAATCACTAGCAATTTACATATATTTTACACACTATTACAAGAAATATTTTATCTTAATTAGTCTGCAAATTTTTTTTCTGGAAACAGAATTTAACAAAAAGCTTCATACTTAATTGCTTGATAGATGTTTAAATACAAATAAAAATAAACCAAATAAGTTTAAATATCTATTAACAGACTACTACTCTAAGAACTTTAAGATTGTGTTCGACATTAGTTTAGTGTCTGCATAATATTACATACCAATAATTATTTATAGAAAAAAAAAACATATCAAATAAAAAAAAATTATCTTATCTTTCATTAGTCTAAATACCATGTAAAAATTTGATAAACATTATTTAAATTACCTATAACATAAAATTATTAGTTTCCTAGATCAAAATATTCCTAATAGGTTTGTATATCCTATGTTTATAATTTAATCATATGAAAGAAATGTTAAATTATATGAATTTAACACAAAATTATTAGTTTCAAATAATGCCGAGAGAAACTAGGGATAAGAGAAATTTCAAGTTGACAACTAAATTATTTTGTCTACAAACTCGACGTATATAAATTAATTTCATAAAAATGTACTTGTATTCTCACTTAGGAGAAATGAGAGAGCGCTTATCTATCTTGCTCCTTACGTTGGTTCAACATCGGTAAGTCATACATGCCTCGTGATGAAAAAAGCTTATTAAAACAAATAATTTTACAACTAAGCAGTTCATATGTAAAAAAAATTACAACATCTAAAAGCTCCTCAGTAAAAAAAGCATTAAAAAATACTCTAAGTATAAGAGGACTAAAGCAAATTCTTTAATTGTGATCAAAAATTATTAAAACACTTAAAAAAATCAATAAGCTAAGCTGTTATTAAAATAATAACATTCAGTACCTTGATTTAGAAAAATAAACTTTACTGTTCCTGGATTTTATAATAATATTTATAATTAATGCTACATGTGATTGGCAACCCTGGACTTTTCAACACAATTGGCATTCCTGCCACTTTCAAATCTTTTTGAGCTCAACATAATCTTCAATCTAATAATATTTTACAGATTTACACAGACAAACAGTGGTATTTAATTTATTCACAAATGGACAGACTCCATATTCATACCTTAGCAGGTGTATCACACAATATGGCAATCTTAAACACAGCATCAAGAGTGTTTTTAAGCTCGTTGTGAAATCCAGCACATCCATTTTCAATATTATTAGTAGCATCATTCGTATGAATATATGACTCTTTACAAAGAATGTTGTTCTAGAGTAGCAATATCTTAAATTTCTGAAAAAATGTTTTAACTTTCAAAAAAAAAAAAAAAATGCAGCCNAAAAAAAAAAAAAAAAAAAAAAAAAAAAAAAAAAAATGCAGCCTCATACTGAGAATATATAAAAGATAACAGCATAGCTGCCAACATGAAGAGAAAAAAAAAACATTAGGAAATGATAATATTTTGTCCAACAATTATTCTACAATACAAAAAATATTTCAGATGTAGGGAATTTCAGGGATCATTTATAATCAATTAAGAGAAATAATATACGAAGTCTATTACAATAATCAAAAATTTGAATGAGCTTAAATGATTTTTTTTATTAAGCTCATTACATTTTCAAATTCACAATTTTGAAAAGTAAAATACAAATTCTTAAAGGAGGATTGGAGTGAACAAATATAAAAGGATTCGCAGTACATGTGTACCCTTAAATCCATGTTAAGGTGATGAGGAGTGATTACTTCATAACTTGGTAGGCTGAAATACCTTATCGTTTTACAGCAGATCTTGTCCAAGCTACTGGCCATTGTGCCTCAGTGCACTGATAGTTAAATATGGCTAAAGAATGATGAAGCACCAATGAACTTCATCCAGGATGTCAGGAATTACTTGGATGCTACTAATCGACTAACCAGTGGGTCAGTCTAGATAGACCCATTACTTAGCCCCCACGATCATCAGACCTGTTCAGTAGAGCCTTTTGAAATGTATGCTCTATTATTCTCCCTGTGGGCTCTGAAGTCATCACATTGGCTATTACAGCAGGAAATGTGCAAGACATTGCTGGTGTTTTTGCTAATGTACACCATTCTATGCTGCAGCAAGGTATGTCACATGTATTATGGTTGTATACTCTTACAAGCATTTGCAGTGACATTTTGATTTAGTTAAAGACTTATTAGCTTTGTTTATAGATGCTTGTTAAGATTTGTTGTTGTCTTTTTCCTTTTATTGGTTTTTTTTTTACTCACTAGAACATTCACACAGTGTTTCCGGACACACATTCTACTGAAAATTCTTTTACATTCC